TTCGTTTCCGTTCTATTACTTGAGTTTGTCTTAAATTAATGTAATGAAATGTATATATAATGCTTTTTACCACAAAACTCAGTTTAATTTGTTTCCGTTCTCTAACTTAAGTTTGCCTCAACCAAATGTTATGAGACTTATACACAATGCTTATTACCACATAATACAGATCAAGTTTGAAATTGGGTGGTGTCACTTTTACCGTTCTTTAGTTATGCCCCTTTATAAACATAAAAATTGCTGAATTTTCCGTTTCCGTTCTCTAACTTTAGTTTGCCTCAACCAAATGTTATGAAACTTATACAAAATGCTTATTACCACTTAATACAGATCTAGTTAGAAATTGGGTGGTGTCACTTTTACTGTTCTTGAGTTATGCCCCTTTATAAACATAAAAATTGCTGAATTATTTGTTTCCGTTCTCTAACTTTAGTTTACCTCAACCAAATGTTATGAGACTTATACACAATGCTTATTACCACAAAACTCAGATCAAGTACAAATTTAGGCAGAGTCACTTTTACCGTTCTTCAGTTATGTCCCTTTATATCTTTTATGATATGCAAGCGGGGGCATCATCTGTGTCCATGCATGGACACAATCCACATTTTTGGTTATCTTGAATATTATTATAGATAGAGATAAACTGTAAATAGCAAAGTAAGATCTACAAATAAGTCATCATGACCAAAATGGTCAATTGACCTGATAAGGAGTTATTGCCCTTTAAAGTCAAATTTAACAATGTTTCGTAAACTTTTTTAATTTACAAAAGTCTTCAGACAACAGAGACAAATAAACCAAACTTGGCCACAATCATCATTAGAATATCTAGTTTTTAAAAACATGGCAGATATGGCTAAAAATAGAACATAGAGGGAAAATGCAGTTTTTGACTTATATCTCTGAAACTAAAGCAAAAGTATAACGGGTTCATTATTTCATGCATCAATTGTAAATAAAAATATCAGGTGAGAGACACAGGCTCCTTGGAGCCTCTAGTTTGGTTTATGCAATAATTGTACATGTTGTAAGGTGCACATGTCTGTCTGGCTTGGTTTATCTGAACTTGACCTTAATATTTGCTTGATAGTATATTTTCATGAATCATTGGTAATGTTAAGTTTATTTGATACTTATCGTAAACTTATAATTATTCTTATATCTTTAGGACAAGCACCATAAAACAGTTGGGACATAAAAATACCTGGAGTCCGTCTATCCCTTTGGCCTTATAAGCGCTCTCACTTGCATGTCTTGTACAATTCTTGTCAAATTTTTAGTTACTTATTTTGATAGTCAAGGTTATATCAACAATGTCTGACAAGTTTTAAAATCAGTGCCAATCAATCATTTTTAAAAGAGTTATGCCCCTTGGAAACATTAATTATTTGGAAAATTGCTTTGTAAGGGCTCTTGTGTACAATTCTGGCCAGAACTTTATGAAATTAATATTTAATGGGTTAATATCATCAGAATGATCAGAGCATTTTGATTTTCATCTGTAATGTTTACAAATTCCAGGGTTCATGGCAAATTTCAACAATTATAAACCTCCACAACCTCCATAGCAGAGGTAATCAAAACGTAGTGCAGCAACAAACAAAAACTATTAATATTCCACTCCAGTTAATCCGACACACAATATACATAGATATAAGAAGATGTAGTATGAGTGCCAATGAGACAACTCTCCATCCAAGTCACAATTTATAAAAGTATATATATATATATATGTACCCGGTAAGTTTGGATATTAAATTGATGTTATCATTTTTGCTTGAATGGTAAGGCAATATTTAATTTGATGTATATTTTACAAAATAATATATGCTGGGTTTTTTTTATTACAGCAAATGTATTCCAAGAGTGTATGGCTGATAAGCAACTACAGGATTTTATCATTGAAGCAACATCTTAGAAGGATAAGTGCAAATGTATGAAGGAAGCCTTGTGTTCAAATACACGTAGCAATTACATGCAGGAGAGAACACTTAAACATTACTAACATGTAGTCATGATATTGGAGTGGTGCATTCTAGAAATCTAAACACCTGGAATAAATATTGTGTATATTTTTTTTCAACCACAAGTACTTTCAGCATATAATACAATTCAAATTCAAATTATTGTGTCAACATGACAGTTACTGTCTAAAAATGGAAAATGCTTGTTTTAAAATGAATTTTATATAAATATTTTAAATAACAAGAACTTTTAGCTTATTGTGCAGCCAAACTTTGAGATCTTTTAATGGTATATGCCTGTTGTTTGTCAACATTTATTTTCTTTTTGACTTAGCCTTAAGATCAGTGTTAAAATGAAAAACTGAAAACCATATATGAAATAAGAAGGAAATGGTTGTAAATAACAGCAAGACTTTCAATATGGTATATCAAATATATTTCACAGAACTTTCTATTTCAGTTTATTAATACAATGAGATATGAGGTATAAATCAATCAGAGAGTAACACAACAACAAAAACACCTGAAAGGCATTAAGGTGCTAACACACTCAACAATAGACAGGTGTCTAAACAATATGTCATGATCTGTTTAATTGACCAGAGTACATGAGTATGTGGCAGGGTGAACTACCTTTTTTCTTCAAAACTCTCATAAGAAGAATTGGCATCTTTTGCAAGAAAGACTTTTCCATAATGTGATTGGAATGTCTCAAAACTGATGAACACAAAAAGACTTATACATACATACACATGTATTAAAAATGAAATATACATCAGTGCATACATCTTCTATAAATGAATCACCTTCCATACATCAAATTAAAAAAAATATTGAGACTTGAATACAACAAAAAATGTTCTAGGAGTGAACTATGGTGCCCTGGATATTTGCTTGCCTTCTTGGTTTTATTAAATCTTATCTGCTGCATTGAAGATATTGTGAGTTGGAGTTGATGAATAAATATTATTTGTATTGTTTAGGACCAAGAAATCTAAGATACAAAGAGAAAGTAAGATAGAATGGAAGTATGAATACATCCTCAAGACAAAGAAGAATATTTATATATATCAAAATAGAATGTGTACTTGATTAGCATTAACTTATCTAAAATATGCTCAAATACTGTGAAATTTGTGTGATTGAGACTCAATTCACCTTAATTTCATTTAGAAAAAATAATGTGAAAGCTGGATTCACATTAATTTCACGTGAAAAATTTAACGTGAATTTCACGTGAAAGCTCGATTCACGTTAATTTCATGTGAAATATTTCACGTGAATATCACGTGAAAGCTCAATTCACGTGAAACTCACGTAAATTTAATGTGAGTTTCACGTGAAAAATTTTCACGTGAGTTTCATGTATAAGCTTGTTTGAGGTGAATCTCACGTGAAAAATTTCATGTGAAATTCATGTGATTTTCACGTGAAATTTACGTGAACAAAATTTGCCTGTGTATCTGAATAAATTGGTTGCCAAAAGTAGTTGTTTTGAATGTTGTTTTTTCGAGAATAAGTAAGTTATAAGTAAAATCACAAAAAAACCGAACGCCGAGGAATATTCAAAACGGAAAGTCCCTAATCAAATGGCAAAATCAAAAGCTTAAACACAAATTCAGATAAATTTCACATTTTTAATCCTTCAATTGCTATAATTCGTTGGATTTTTATATTTTCCAAAGGTGCGAAAAATTCATAACTGCAATCACTATCGATATCAATTGATATGAAAAGGCCAATGATAACAAACGTTGAAAAAACATAACTTAAAAGCAAGACTGCTATGGTGAATTGAATTGCTTACTCAATATAAATTTGTTTATCTTGATTAAAATTCCTTCTTGTACAACCACTTTATGTTTAGTTGAAAATTTAAACTACACTATTTTTTACTAAGGGATGTAAAAAGAGAGGGGGGGGAGGGGGGGAAATAATTTCACATTACTATTTTTTTAGACAGAAGGTTAATGATTGGACACATGGAAGCAAAACATAAAGATGATTCTACATTTCTAAAAAAAAACACACAAACGTATATATATCTTACATTTCGTTTATTAATTTTTGTTGGATTTACTTTGTTTAAAAAAATGAACGAATACACAAAGGTGGCAATCTATAATCGTAGCCGACGAAACACAGTAAAATCAATGCCAGCAGGGACATCTGCATCGTAACAATAATCGACTAAGAAAATGGTAAGCCAAAGGTACAAAGTATTAAAATCCCTAGTACAACAACAGGGAGGAGAACTTCAGAACCATATAACTGAATTCAACTTACAATTTTTTCCATCTAAGGAAGTATTTGTTACAGTTTTCGTAAATTCCCTGACTAATTAAAGCAAGGACACAAAGTTCCGGAAATATTTGCAACTTTATAAAATCACTCATTTAACGAATTCACTGTAACATATAGAAATAATTGTTGAGCCTGTCGTGAATCAGAGTCGGTATTTTTCAATTCATGAAAAAAAAACATGAATTTAAAGACGACGAAATAGTTTATTATTAAAGTTTTTCCCATGTTTACCAGGGAGAGGTTGAAGTCTGTTTAAAAGAGTAAAAGAGGGACATGGTACAATTTCAGTAAGGTACTACATGTACCAGTAGAAGGATGTTTATCACTCGGTTGGCATTATTTCCTTTCGTAGTATTAATTTTCTGATCTCAGGTCATTGCTATGTATTACGTATGAGAGTAAGGTTTTTAAGCAGACAAATCAGAAAGAATCATTTTACATTATCTTCATAATAACCGTCAGCATAATACTTGCTGTTTTGAAAAAAAATATATATAGATTTATTCTGCCTACTGAAATGTCTGAAGTACATATGGCATTTTTTGATATAATCATGTAAAGGAACGAAACTCACATTGAAAAACAGTTCGAAAAACGCCTGGACATTCGTTTGTTATCTCGATTTTATATTGGCTACTTTTTCAATGGCAAATATATACCAAACCGTACAGGTTGAAGTACTGGTGAATTGATCAACCATCATAAAACTTAGAAGGTGAAAAGGCTTACCTTTCTTTTCAGCCTTGTCTTTTGTGAATATTTTATCTCAATCAGGATTCCAAGGGGGTCTTTCCTCCAACATATATATACCAACCGACACATATAAAGATTTAAAACCAGTTATTTTCTGTTCTGTCTTGTCTCTGTGAACTATTTATTTCTAAATATATATCCTTGTAATTGTTTATTTCTATAACTGGGTTTTTCCTATAATGGTTCAGCGTTTATAGACTGGGTTTAAAAAATCTACTTGATGTATCTACAAGGATAATAACAATTGTTTTAAATGTTTGATCAAATGATACAAAAATACAGGTATGAAAAGGCAAATAGTATTGCCATTGTTAATAGTCATTTAAAATATTAATACTAAACGTTTACATTACCTTTAAATCTTAAGAAAGTATGAGGGTAATAATGCTACTTCGATTATTTAGATATGCATATACATGCTTCATAATAAGACAAAATAGAACGCTTTGCTTTGAATAGGAATAATTAAGATTCAGTCTAAAGAAAAGGTTTCAAGAATTTCTGTCAATTCGATTAAAATGTGTGGCAAATCAGTCGGAAATATCGATATGTAAGATTTTAAGGTGTCTCCTTTAATCGGCTGGCATTACTGTGTCAGTAATTAAATTATTTATTAAATTCATAATTAATATTTTAACGATACCTTGTAAAATAAGAGGAATACGAATAATAGTTATACAGAAATAACGATGAACTTGCTTCAACAGATAGGTAGTATGTTTTCCATTTGAACTTCAAGTATATAGGTGTGCTGTTTGCGATGACTTCTAAAACTATGCTTTGTTTTGAATCAAAAATGCCACTTGATTACTCAATACATGGACAATTATTGGTAGTCGACCAGGGAATTAACAAAAATATCGAACTCCAAGGTAAATTCAAATAGAGGAAAGTCCATGAAGTCGGATAAATTAACATTAGGAAGCTATCAAAGCAAGAGTTCTAAATAGTAAAGTTGCAAATCATCCCTTCGTACATTTCATGGACACCATTACCTGTATGTTGACCTTTTCGCAGATGGCGACGGATATGTTCCAAATGATGAGAGAAAAATATCCGGGTTACTAACTAAAACCGAGGGAATCACAACAACTATAAAAGGAAAACAATGTAATAATAGAAACACTGAATTGTAACAAAAACAAACGTCAACATACCTAAAAACGGACTATTTGATAATATCTGACATATTCTGAAACGGTACAGGACATTTAAGAAAAAAAATGTGGTTATAATTGTGTAAAAACCCTACTGCACACTTTGTCTTGGTAACATATGAAATTTTACTTAATAACATATGAATTCTGGTGCTTTGGTCTGATTTTTGTTTGCGGGAAGACCACAACAGCATACTTTTGAACATACCACAGAATGTCTATTTTTACAAGCCCCACACCGCCAGAAAATACAAAAATGGTATTGGTTCAAATTGCAGTATATTCTTCATGTTGTACCTGTTATCAACATGATATGATTAAACATTATCATGATAAGTGCAGAATAACGAGAGCTGAATGTATGGGTTTGTTTTTAAATTCAAGTCAAAATATCATATGCATATCAGGAAGATACACTGTAAATGTTAACAGACGGACCAACAGACAGAAAAACATAGTGCCCCTAGGTTGGACATTAAAATACGGATTGTGGCTCAACAACTCAATCATATCTATGCATTACTGTAAATCGAGTGACATCCAGAACTAGTGAACAGAAAACAGTTCAAAATTGTATTTCAACTCAATGCAAATATAGAAAAATTATTTTTTATACATTCTTCAAAGATGACATATGTTAAGCTTTGCAAAAACTCACGTTACCATTTTTGCATCATTTCCATACATCAAAATTAATCAATCCTATATTTTCCTTTCACAATCAAAGATTACATCAATATATTCCCACCATAACTTATCTGTTTACAACATGTCATGTAAGCTGCATGAAGTTTATATCTATTATAGTTATCAGGTCAATAAAAAAACAAATGGGGAATGTGTCCATTGAAAAAAGATGATGCCCCGCTTGCATATCATATACAATAATAAATGAACATAACTGAATAACGGTAAACGTGACGCTACCCAAATATTAACTTGATCTGAGATTTGTGGTAACACCTATTTTGTATAAGTTTAATAACATTTGGTTGAGGCAAACTTAAGTTAGAGAACGGAAACGAAATTCAGCAATTTGTGCATTTGTAAATGGGCATAACTCTACAACAGTATATGTTATGCCACCAAAATTCAAACTCGATCTATATTTTGTGGTAATGAGCATTGTGTAAATGTTTTATAACATTTGGTTGAGGCAAACCTAAGTTGGAGAACAGAAATGAAAAATTCAGCACTTTTTTCATTTGTAAACGGCCGTAACTATGGAACAGTTAAATTAACACTATAAAAAAATCAAACTTGATATGTTTTGCGTGGTAATTATCATTGTGTATATGTTTCATAACATTTTGTTGAGGCAAAATAAAGATAATGAAAAATTCAGCTGTTTGTCCATTTATAAAAGGGTTAAAACTCTAGAACGGTTTAAGTGACGTCACAAAAATTTTATTTTGATCTGTGTTTTGTGAAAATAAGCATTGCTTATAAGTTTCAGAACAGTTGGTTCAAATGTTTTAATAGATATTCTAATAATTTCATTAATGTGATGGCAGTACACAAACTATAAACACAAGTCTTCACTTCTGTTTCAAACCTTCTTTTAATGAGGATTTAAAATCCAAAATTATACTTCATGACCTTCGATATGACAAATGACGACAGATTCAAGCTCTAACAATATTATTAACAAAATGAGTAATTTAAGTTTTTGTTCGGTCATTGTAATAGCTGCTAAATTTCCTCTTTTCTGCACATTCTAAATATGACATCCCATCAGGTGAACTACCTTCTATACTAGCACCCTGTATAATAATTATTTTGGCTAATTTTTATGTTCTTTTTGATAGTTCACCTCTTCAACTGTTTTCGGTTTTTATACATTCTTGGCTTTCAAATATTCGGATATTTGTTCAAAATGAAGATAAATCAAGAAAAAGCTTCGGACGATTGGAATTTTGAACGATTTTTTTTCATTTTTTTGAAATTTATTTCATATTTTTATTGCTTCATATATGATGTACTAGTTCATTTATGAATATGAAAATAAGGAAATGTTGTGTGAAAGACGATGAAAAAACTACACTTAGAAAACAGAACAAAGATCTGTTAGTTTTTATAGTTTCTTTAAATACAACAGATGAAATGCTCTTAAAAATACACTGAATGAAATTAGTTTTGTAACTGTAAAAGCTTATACGATGCGAAAAGGTTTTTTTTTTCACAACAGACAATTTTCTCTATTCTTAATATGCCCTGTATTTCTATTAATATCTACATCAGAGAAATTGATGCTTTGTAAACTTATTATGCACTATTTTTAGAAACTGTTATAATATGTGATAAGGCACAAAGCATATCAGTCAGAAAAAACGTTTGCAAGTCACACACACGTTCGGAGATACAGATATTTTAAATGGAAGATTTTTCAAGTGAAAAAAAAAAAGAAACAAAATGAAATGGGTATGTTTGTTTTTATTATAAATGGTGTAATCTCTTTTGTATTCCTTCTTTACAAAAAAAGGAAGACAGTTTATAAAATTTTACGAGACACTTAAAACAAATATAAACATTACCTCTTGTTTCATTCCTTCATCGTTTATAATTGAAAGTAATTGCATCTATCTTTATACGACTGAATTCCTGCAATTATTATCATTCTCAGTTGAATTTATAACTGAAACTTGTTACATTCGTTTAACCTTTTCATAACATTTATATATTGTCCCTTTAAGTATTCCATCTTAACAGCCTCATAACAAACAATCCTATCTATAATTTTTATACTATATATTTACGTTTATTTGGTTTTTATCTAGTTTAAGTTTAAACGACATTGTTCAAATGTTTAAATGATACGTTACCTTCCTCATTGATCGTATCGGCGTGACATGTTGTAAAAAATAATGAACCGTCTAACACTGATAATGACACTTGGTAATAAAATGCAATCATGTGGAAAAGTACTAAATTTTAATTTACAATATAAGCATTGTGTTAGATTATTCAGTTAAATTCGTCAATCTTAATTGATATCAATGATAAGAACGATATTAATAATCTCACATTTAGATAGTGCATATACATCAAATAGGCAATGGAACATTCAAACACATAAATAGAAAAAAAGCTAACAAAGAAAAAGACCCGAGAGACCACAAGATTTTGATCTGAAATCCTTGGATCATAAACAGGAAATTTGGGTCAAAGGTCAAGATTATGTTCTGAATTTTTAACGTAAGTTGTTATCTCAATTCCTCAGAAATAGATAGAGAAGTCGACATGAGATTTTTGTCAAATTTTAGTTGAGACTTTACCCACGCCAATGCGTTTTTTTGGCTAAGAGTGCTCACTACATGAACATTCATGTATTGTAGCTAAACCCAAACATATGTAATAGTACTGGATACGTTTACATTTTGACATACGTGTTTAGAACGTCAATAATGAGATAATGCCTACCCTTCAAGAGCACCTATGAAAACACTAAGTTTTTGGTGGGGTTTCTGTTGCTAAGTCTCTAGTTTTCTATGGTGTGTTTTGTAGGGGTAAATTCAGTAAATAGATATACGTCACCACGGATCGCTTAATTAGGGGAGAGGTTTCTGACGTCATGTGCTCTTCTGATTGGTAGATTGTAATTTTTAAGAGAAAACCAATCCGGGATACAAACTAAAACCAAGGGTAACACATCAACTATAAGAGGAAAACAACGTAATAACAGAACAAAAAGTGCAACAAACAACAAACACTAGAATGCCTGTCTCAAGTCAGAAGCCTATTATTTAGTGGTTTTCGTTTGTTTATTCATTACATATTTGTTTTTCGTTCATTTTTTGTACATAAATTAGGCCGTTAGTTTTCTCGTTTGAATTGTTTTACATTGGCATTTTTGGGTCTTTTATTGCTGACTATGAGGTATGGGCTTTGTGCATTGTTTAAGGCCGTACGATTATCTATAGTTGTTAATTTCTGTGCCATTTGGTCTCTTGTAGCAAGTTGTCTCATTGG